CACAGTGCAGGGAGGAAAAAGTATGTGAACCTTTGGACTTAATAACTGGTTGACCCTCCTTTGGCAGCAATAACCTCAACCAAACATTTCCTGTAGTTGCAGATCAGACCTGCACAACGATCTGGAGTAATTTTGGACCACTCCTCTTCACAAAACTGTTTCAGTGTAGCAATATTCTTGAGATGTCTGGTGTGAATCGCTCTCTTAAGGTCATGCCACAGCATTTCAATCGGGTTGAGGTCAGGACTCTGACTGGGCCACTCCAGAAGGCGTATTCTGTGCTGTTGCAGCCATTGTTTTGTTGAATTACTTGTATGCTTTGGGTCATTGTCCTGTTGCATCACCCATCCTCTGCGGAGATCCAGTTGGCAGACAGATGGTCGTACATTTTCCTGCAAAATGTCTTGATAAACTCTGGAATCCATTTTCCCATCAATGACAACAATCCGTCCAGACCCTGAGGCAGCAAAGCAGCCCCAAACCATGATGCTCCCTCCGCCATGTTTTACAGTGGAGATGAGGTTTTAATGTTGGTGTGCTGTGCCTTTTTTTCTCCACACATAGTGTTGTGTGTTCTTCCCAAACAACTCAATCTTAGTTTCATCTGTCCACAGTATATTTTGCCAGTAGTGCTACGGAACATCCAGGTGCTCTTTTGCAAACTTCAAACGTGCTGCAATATTCTTTTTGGACAGCAATGGCTTCCTCCGTGGTGTCCTTCCCATGTACTCCATTCTTGTTTAATGTTTTCCTTATTGTAGATGTGTCAACAAAAATGTTAGCATGTGCCAGAGATTTCTGTAGGTCTTTAGCTGACACTCTGGGATTCTTCTTTACCTCATGCAGCATTCTGCGCTGTGCTTTTGCAGTCATTTTTACAGGACGACCACGCCTAGGGAGAGTAGCAACAGTGCTAAACTTTCTCCATTTGTAGACAGTCTGTCTTACCGTGGACACATGAACATCGAGGCTTTTGGAGATACTTTTGTAACCCTTTCCAGCTTCATGCAAGTCAACAATTCTTGATCGTAGGTCTTCTGAGAGCTCTTTTCTGCGAGGCATGGTTCACATCAGACAGTGCTTCTTGAAACCAGTAAACCCAAAACAGGTGTGTGTTTTTTAAGGGCAGGACAGCTGTCAGCAACACATCCAATATCATCACACTGATTGGAGTCAAGGTTGACTCACTCCTGGCTCCAATTAGCTCTGGGAGAAGTCATTAAGCTAGGGTCTCACATACTTTTTCCTCCGTGCACTGTGAATGTTTACATGTTATGTGCAAATAAACCATGGCAACAGCTAATGTTTGTGTAGTATTATGTTCAGCAGACTGTGTTCTTCTATTGTTGTGGCTTAGATGATGTTCAGAGCACATTTTATGCCCAATTCATACAAAACTCCACGTAATCCCAAGGGGTTCACATACTTTTTCTTGCAACTGTATTTTAATCTTTTATATATATATAATATATATATATTTAATCTATATATATATATATATATATATAGCCTGCTTATTGATATCCTGTATGAGAAACCTCTGTATTAATTGAATTCTGTAATTAATCTGTTTTTATTGTATCTGACCATGTATTGTTTAGGATAGTCCTATTATGATACTTTATGGATTGCCCCAATTTTTATATATCATTATTACTCTATTGGGGTACATCTAATTTGCTGTAAAACCTTTTAAAATAATCTGATCCTCTATTTTTATAAGATAGGATTTATCCTTTCTAGATTATCTGGCCCTATTGATTTATATTGTTTACTTGCGCCTGAACACTACCAATAAAATGGAGCCATCCTATAGGAGACACTTTCTGTAGGTCAGGGTATGATATACACTGACTTGCATTGATGATGTGCATTTGAAGACTGCCAACAAAATGGCGTCATCCTATGGTGGATATCAATGTAAACCGGATATCCACGACAAAATGGCGCCGACGCACTGCGCATGCGCCGATCGCCGGGAAAATGGCCGCCGCGATAATCGCTGGTGCCTTTTCCACAATGAATTTGATATTTAAACAGTTCTTTGGTGTCCCTGTATGTAAGCCCAGGACCCTTTGATAATGTGCACCGCACGAAACGCGTCAGCGGGGCTGCAGTATCTGGACGTCTGACCACCGCAGGTGGTCATCCTAACTATTATCTGGTCAGTGTTTCATTTACATTTTTTTGTATTTTATCTTCACTATTCATGTTGCACCTTTAAATAAACTCAGTTTATAGGGTATCACACTATGTGGTGTCCCTTATTGGGCTCTCTTCTATGAGAGTCCCCACTTGCAGAATCTACCTTAAAAGGGGACCCCAGATGGCGACACGCCAGAGACACGCATATGAAATTTGAAGTATATACCCAAGGTGCGATTGGAAGGTGTAGGATTCTATCCCTATCTTGGCAACTGATGATCGCTATCTGATATGACAGGATAAACCTTACATGCGTTTTTTTGACGCACATCTGGTGAGTGCGCAATTTTTACCTCAGATTCACCGTGTGCTACACAGAATCTTATCCCACGCACCTACTAGGATCTATTGGATCCCCACGTTTGACTTATTTTGGGACTTTTTTTCATCTCACTTAACCTCACCGCAGTGTGATTTGCACTTTAGTGTGTATATATATATATATATATATATATATATATATATATATATATATATATATATATATATTATTTTATATGTTATATATACCATTTACTATTATAGCGCTGCACCTTATATATGGTTTTATATATATATATGTTTATGTACTTTATTGGAAGGTTCTCTCTTGGTTACCTTTTGGTGTTCTAGCCGCTTTGAGATCTCGGATAGCGCTCGCCTATTATCTTTTGCATGGTTGTAAGGAAATGTCTCTTGAATTGTTTGGATACTCCTAAATAATGCAAAAGGTCTGGTGCTCTATTTATCCTCTTTGCCAGCAAACGTCGAGGATTTCAGGCTTCTATGCAAACTATTGCCGGATGGATCAAGCAAGTCATTTCTTGTTGCTACCAAACCAAGGGGCTTTCTGTGCCTTTCATTAATGCACATTGTACTAGGGCCTTAGTTTTCTCGTCCTGGGCAGAGAGAGCTGGTGCTTCCCTGGATTAAATATGTAAGGCGGCAACCTGGTCTAGCTTCTCGACATTTAAAGCACTACCGGGTGGATCTCCTGAACAGTCAGGTGCAAACATTTGGGCGTAAGGTCCTCCAGGTAGTGGTCCCACCCTAGGTTGGTAAGTTTTTGCTTATCGTCTCATGGGCTATCCTGGAAGATGACTTGGGAAAACCAGAGTTAGACTTACTGGTAACTCTATTTCCAGGAGTCTTTCAGGACAGCCGGATTCCCGCCTGATGCATTATGTTATGCTATGTTGTGTTTTAAAGGTCTGTCCTTCGGTACTTGTGGTTTAGAGGCTGGAGCTTGGAGGACCACCTTTTATTTTCTGTGGGGTAACGTGTTTCCTGTCCTGTGGGAGGAGCTGTACGTCTCATGGGCTGTTCTGGAAGACTGCTGGAAATCGTTATCTATAAGTCTAACTCCGGTTTTTATAAAAATTGCTTTGCGTTTATAGATTCCAATGCGTTTCATCTAAAGCATTTTTCATGGTTCCAAGTGGATACTGTATTGCCAGTTTCATCAACATCTATTATGTCCTATGGTTGGGCGGTTTTTATCTATATGTATATATTTCCTCTGATTTACCATTCCATATACTACCTGTACAGTTGAGTCGGCCTTGCTCTAAGTTAGTGGCTGTAGTTCGCCATTGCCGTTGCCCGTGAAGCCTTCTACGTCTTGGGCATCGACCTACTATAGCCCCCCTTTGCTGACTTTAATTATATGCCTTTTTGTATTTATGTCTGACTAAACTTTTCCCACCGATGGGTGGTTTTTTTAACCTAACAAAAGGGTTTCATTTTTATTTACTATTTTCATGTTTTCACTTTATTTGTACTGGTACGATATGATACCTTTTTAAAGCCCCATTAGCTTTTTAGGTTAGGGTTTTTGCTTAAATCTTTGCGTTTAGCAGATAACTGTGGACTAGGTTGAAAACTGCATCTGTTCGTGTACAATTATGTGGCATAGACTTACTTCACTCATCATCTCCATGTATTGAAAGCAGCTGCCACACAGTCCTTGTGTGAATTCAAAGACAATGCTGTAAAGCTGCACAGGTAAGCATTGTGAGACCTCCTACTGATGCATTATAGTGTATTTAAACCCAAAAACAAAATTTGATATACCTTCTCTTCATTTCATGGGATTGGAGTCTCTGTGGCTCACAGATAATAATTAGGACATCTGACAAAATTAGTTTCGATTTCCGTTCATTACAGTGATTCTAAAGGTTAAAAAGAATTTTAAAAAAAAAGTTATACTTCACATGCTCCGTGCAATAGTTTTGCACAGAGCAGCTCCGATCCTCTTCTTTTCGGGTCCTCCACCGACAGTCCTTGCCAAGTGCCCCCTATAGCAAGCCTCTTGCTGTGGGGGCGCTTGTGTAGACATGCTCCTGAGCCACGCTCCTATGAATGGACATTTGTTCATTAACGCACAGAGCTTGTCCCCACCTTTGTTCTATCTCCTCATTGACTCTTTGAATGTGATTGACAGCAGCAGGAGCCAGTGGCTCCCAATGTTGCCTGAGCCAATGAGGAGAGGAGAGAGAGTCCCAGGACAGCCAAGGCTCCCATGCACATTGCTGGATCGAGATGGGGTTCAGGTAAGTGTAAGGGGGGGCTGCGGGGCAGCTGCACCCAGAACGTTTTTTACCTTCATTCATAGAATGCATGAATGTTAAAAAAAAAAAAAAAAAAAAAGCTTCTGCCTTTAGAACCACTTTAAACAAGAAGTTACAAGGACACTGGTTCTTGGCAAGATCTTTTTTTACACTTTTTTTTTTTTTTTTTCCCATTAAAGAATAGTAGTAGTCAAACATAGTATATATTTCTGGGTGTAGAAGTCAATTTCATTCTCTTTTCTCCAGAGCACAGGATACACTTCTGATCTTTGGCGAATCACCAGGGAAAGAGATGAGCTGCAGGAAATGTTGGATAGGTTTGAAAAACACATGATCGAGATTCAGTCCAATGTAAAAGTGCTCACAATGGAAAGGGACAAGTGTCGGGGGCTTTATGAGCAGGTAAATATTATGTTAAGCTGACTATTGGGAATTTTATGGTCCTTTGATTTGCATACATTTTATTAGTGACTCCAACACACAGAATAAGGCAAACTGTTTATCTGTAGTCCTTTTTCATCTGCAGCTTCAATGCACGTATATTGTTTACATTGCCATGCCATCATAGTAATAGACCAATAGTAACTTGCATGCAAGTTCAACTCCATGGTTTTTATTAGCTGTATCAATCCAAAGTTGTTGGCTCTTGATTTGTGCATGTATCAGTGTCTGGAATAACCACTTTCTACCTATGTGGCTGAGTATTTGTGTGAAGGTCTTGTATGTATTTCAGATCTAGCATTCATTTACAGGCCCAGAATGAACTCGTCATCGTAAAGCGAGATCTCTCTCCTCTGCGTAAAAGCAGCTCTTCAGTTAAAGAATTGCTCCATCTAGAGGAAGAAGAGATCTAGTCAAGTCTGACTTGCGCAGAGTTCAAGAGGAAAATGAAAGTCTCAGGGACAGAATAAAGGTATATTATGTTGTTTGTATTTCATTACCTACAAAGATTAAGATAATATAGAGAAGCTCATTTATTAATTTGAAAGTCCAGTCAGTTTTATGTTTTCAGAATGCCTGGAATGTCAAATATCTGTTACCTCAGACTTGGGGCTTGTTCATATTGTGTGCTATGACCTGCAGTTTTTGTTAAATGCAGATTGTAGCTAGGCCCCATTGTTTTCTATGTGTCTTGTTTACACCACAAAACTGGTTTGATGTGCTCTGGATGGCACCACCATCAGTCCACAGTACTGCTGTGCAGTGACATGAATGAAGTGTCATACATGACACTTCAAATTAAAATTAAAAAAAAAACAAGCTGAGTGATGTGCTGAAACGCTGCATGCTGACGCACACACTGCTCTGGCCTGCACAGTAAACACCGTGGAGTGGTTTGTAAGTGAACCTTTCTCTAGCTTCCATACTGCAGTGAGTTTTATGTCACTATCCTTTCTGGCAGAATCCTAGGCATTTGCTGAGCACCCAAAATCTTGCTAGAAGAGAGTACAGCATGGTTCATTAGTGTTTTTTTTCTTATGAGATTTTTAATACTTGCAAGAAAGGATGGTGACCTCTCCCTCACCTAGGCACCGCAAGGGGAAGCTGGGGAATGGTAAATATATAGTTTACTGTATGGTCCTCCTGCTCTCAGATGTAACCTCTGAATGAAGCTGCTAACACCCTACCACATAGCACAATGGACAATAATAAAATGATGTGGTGCTGCGCTTTTATATACAACATACCAGAAAGAATAATAGCATGTAATAAAATCTACATATATACAAAACCAATATCTAAGTGTGCTTATATGTGACTAAAATCACAAGAAATCATGAGACAATAATTCCCAATAAACCCAAGGGTGATGATGGGAATGACCTCCCCACTTCTATGCTAAATTGCACACACACAAGGGAAAAAGTGAAAAATGTATCAATTTGGCACATATTATTTGTCACTTTTTCCCTTGTGTGTGCAATTTAGCACAGAAGTGGGGAGGTCATTCCCATCATCACCCTTGGGTTTATTGGGAATTATTGTCTCATGACTTAGATATTGGTTTTGTATATATGTATTATTTCTTTCTGGTGTGATGGAGTTTTTTGTATATTTCTTGTGATTTTAGTCACATATAAGCCTCTCACCCCTCCCTATGACAGTGGGTAGGGGATCCTCTCCTGCCCCCCGTTCTCAATATTTGAGAACCTTATGGCCGTATAGGGCTCCACCCACATGGCCGTGTCTCATTCAGTTTCCTGTGAATGAATGTCTACAAGTACCATCAGCCATTGCAGCTGACGGCTTGTAGTTCTCAAAGAACTATTAGGACGCTGATAAGTACTCTTATAGTCCATTGATCTTCCTGCTCTCAAGTAACTGCCTGCCTATAAGATTACGAGTCCAATGGTCTGCAGGCTCCTTAGAAAAAAAATAAATGCATATTTTTTTTACCTGCAATAAAAGATGTGAATTCATTTTTTTTTTTTTTTTTTTTTTTCAAAAGGTGAATATATCCTTTAGGAAAGATGTGCTTTGCAAAGATGTTTGAGCTTGTTGCATAGGATTGAATTAAGGAATTTTTGCTTATTTTAGTGGAATGGGACATAATGTCAGAGATCCAGTGGGGTTGCTTCACTAAGAAAAGTGTTCACTCTGGAAAAGGTGTATGAATTTTTCAAAATTACTGTTCATTTAGCATAATAAACAAGGTGACGTTGTGTTCACGATGAATACCGAATCATGTGTTAGGGCAAGTTTTAAAAAAAAAAACAAAAAAAAAACAGGATTTTTACTTGCACATAATTGAATAATTGAAGAGAATATAGCTCTCCCTTATTCATGAAGTGAACAGCACATTCATTTTGCAAATTAAACATTGTTTATTCCTTTAGTAAATCATCCTTTTTATTATCATCATCATCTTTCTGATACTAGCTTTGTATTTATTCTAGCCAGCTGGCTAGTGGGTGTCTAAATGTGAAATCTCTAATGCTTGGCATTTTTCTCCAAATAAAAAGTGAGAATGTTATTGAAAGGCAAGTTTACAAATACTATGATAAACATCTGAAAATGTATTTTGTAAGATTTGAAGAAATGCAGCAGTTTATAAAGTATGTTGAATCAGTTCGATCTTTAGTTTGCCAATGCATTTTTTTTTTCCAAGTGCTCATTAGCCTGCATCTATAATTAAACTGCTTAACTGACCTTTTTGGGGGTTTTTTTCTCAGGTGCATAATGAAGCATCAACAACGGAAAGATTCAGACTTGCTCATAAGATTGATGACTTGGAAAGCTCAATAAACATGGTATGTCGTGGCTGTGTTTCCCTGTATTAGTTAAAGTGTACCTTTAATACCAGGAAAGGGAAAGATATTGAAGGTATCTGCTCTTTTATACATACAAAAATAAAGATCCATACAGAAAAAAAATCTAATAAAAAAAATTATTCCAGTGTATATATACCGCCATTTGTAAATGCTATAACTTTCACATAAACTAATTAATTTACACGTATTGGGATTGTTTTTTTTTTTTTTTTTAAGCAGACATGTTGCAGAATAAATTTTGGCCTAAATTTATGACTATATTAGATTTTTTTAATTAACATTTGCTGGGCCTGTTTAATAGTAAATAGTCAAAAATGTTTTTTTGTTTATAGCTACAAAATAAAAACCACACAGGCGTTCAAATACCACTGAAACAAAGTACTATTTGCAATTGTCAGTTAAAATAACACAGCGCATCACAAAAAATGGCCTGGTCAGGAAGGGGGTAAATCCTCTGGCGAGCAAGTGGTTAATACCAGACATACACTGGCTGCACTTGGTTTTTTACAGTAAGACTACCACTTTAAGACCAGGCCAATTCTGCCATTCTTGCATTTAAAATCAGAATTTGTTGCTAGAAAATTACTTGGAATCTCCAAACGTGTGTATGTGTGTGTATTTGATTCATTCAGTCTTTTGTTGTTGTGATTAGCTGTGATTGGGCAAAGCTCATCACATGATACAGATGGGCAGTGATTGGCCCTGTCTGTATAATGTGACTGCTTTGAACCAGTCACAGCTAACAACATAATTGTATACAATGGATGGCGCATGACAGGAAGCCATCCATTGTACACAATTGATATGTGATCTGCTGTGATTGGCCACAGAGGTCACATGACACTGGCAACGGGCTGGTGTAGTGATATGTCATTGGCTGTGTCCCGTGGACACGGCCGGTGTGACAGATCACGTGGTTCGTTTTGATAGGACGTCCTATGATGCCCACTCACAATGAGCAGTGTCCCGCCCCGGCCATCAATCTGCTATAGGCCGGGCGGGAAGGTGTTAAACAGAGGCCCTAGAGAATAAAATGGTGGGGTGTTGCAGGTTTTTATGCCACACAGTTTACACATGCGTGACCTATGTATGCTTTCACCTTTGCAAAACCTCTTTGTAAACATTCCTTGTGATAGCAATAGGCAGTGACTGGTCCTCTTAACTGAGAGATCTGGGTTCTATTAGGCCCCAGATCCCTTGTCTGCCCTTTGAAAATCAAAGCTTTTCCTTGCCAGTAATGGCAAGTAAACAAATGTCAGAAACAGGAAGTGTTAAAATACTCATTACTGTCCTGTCCCCATTCGGCTCTATGGCAAGCCGGTGAAACCGTGGGCTTCAGTCCAGGTTTGCTGGTGGGATGGTAGAGACCGAAGAGGCTCCGCTAGGATGGCTTTTACATAAGAGAATAGTCGGCAAAAAAAATACCTGGATGATGCCTGTAGCTGCAGGCGACATCCCGTTATAGCCACTCAAACCGTCGCTTTACATATATACATATTGCAGTCAACAAGTGGTTAAATGCAAGTTTCACTTTAACATTAAAAACAAAAGAGAAGCATTTGATATAAAACAGAAAATGCCACATTTGGTCACTGGATGGCATGAAGTTTCACAGGAATTTACTATCCTACTTGGTGCTTGTTTAGTGGCCAAGAGCTGTATTTTTCATTTTATATCCATGAAAAACAAAACCAGCACAGGGAATAACCTAATAACAATCATGTTTTGTGGCCCCATTCACACAAAACAAATGTACATGCATTTTCACTGAGCGAATGACTATGTGATATATATGTATTCTCTTTATGCATAGTGCACAGTCTTCTGATAAGAAAGCACTTTGTTTTTTTTTCTTATAAACCTGTGGCCTATGCATATTTCAAACTATAAAGGAGCCCTATACTGTCCAATTATTTCTGTTATTCAAACATCCTTCTGAATTATGATTTTATAAAAAAACGAAGATCAGACATACAATATGTTGCCAAAAGTATTGAGACGCCTGCCTTTACACGCACATAAACCTTAATGGCATCCCAGTCTTAGTCCATAGGGTTCAATATTGAGTTGGCCCACCCCCCCCTTTGCAACTATAACAACTTCAACTCTTCTGGGAAGGCCGTCCACAAGGTTTAGGAGTGTATCTATGAGAATGTTTGACCATTCTTCCAGAAACGCATTTGTGAGGTCAGGTACTAATGTCGGGCGAGAAGGCCTGGCTCGCAGTCTCTGCTGTAATTCATCCCAAAGGTGTTCTATCAGGTTGAGGTCAGGACTTTGTGCAGGCCAGTCAAGCTCCTTAACCCAAAACTCATTCATCTAGGTCTGTGGACCTTGCTTTGTGCACTGGTGCGCAGTCATGTTGGAACAGGAAGGCGGTCATCCCCAAAGTGTTCCCACAAAGTTAGAAGCATGAAATTGTCCAAAATGTCTTGGTATGCTGACGCCTTAGGACTTTCCTTCACTGGAACGAAGGGGCCAAACCCAACCCCTGAAAAACAGCCCTGCACCATAATCCCCCTCCGCCAAACTTTATACTTGGCACAATGCAGTCAGGCAAGTACCGTTCTCCTGGCAACTGCCAAACCCAGACATGTCCATCGGATTGCCAGACAGAGAAGCGTTATTTGTCACTCCAGAGAACATGTCTCCACTGCTCTAGAGTCCAGTGGCAGTGTGCTTTACAGAACTGCATCCAACGCTTTGCGTTGCACTTGGTGATGTAAGACTTGGATGCAGCTGCTCGGCCATGGAAACCCATTCCATGACGCTCTCTATGCATTGTTTTTCTAATCTGAAGACCACACAAAGTTTGGAGGTCTTTAGCTATTGACTCTGCAGACAGTTGGCAATTTCTGTGCGTATTCAGCATGTGCTGACCCCACTCTGTCATTTTTTTGTGGCCTACCACTTGATGGCTGATTTGCTGCTGTTCTCAGTTGCTTCCACTTTGTTATACCACTAACAGTTGACACTGGAATATCTAGTATTAAGGGAAATTGCACAGGTGGCAACCTATCACGGTACAATGCTTGAGCAATCACTGAGCTCCTGAGAGCGACCCAGTCTTTCACAAATATTTGTAGAAGCAGTCTGCATGCCTAGGTGCTTGATTTTATACACCTGTGGCCATGGAGGTGATTGGAACACCTAAATCCAATGATTTTGAGGGGTGTCTCAATACTTTTGGCAATTTAGTGTACTTGTCTTTATATTCTGATTCCCTTCCACCTATGGTGTTTGGTCATTTGGCCTGTGCTTTGATGAGGAACTTTAGTAAGTGTTAAATACATAGATGCAATGCATAATACCAGAGCTGTTTTACCTGCCAAAGAATTAGTCATTCTAGTTCTGAGACTTGTGTAGCTCTGCCACACAGCACAGCCCCATTGAGTAGGGTAGGAGACTATACAGGTCTTGTCCCTTCCACAGCCTTTAACTGGACAGTAACAAGAAAATCAGCAGTAGCTGATGAGCTCATCTGTTTTTGCCATCTTTGTTCCCCCCCTTTCTATCAGCACGTTCCTTGTCATCACATTTGCATGCAACATACCTGCTTGACTCCCAGTCTGCATGCTGTGTTATAGGGGATTGCAAAAGGCTGATGCCAAGTCAAATTCAGGATGAAAAAATTTCCTGCTGTGGCTATTGTATTTTGACAGCTGGCCCCACTGGCTGTCAAAATACCCAAACAGCAAGTGCATTTAATTGGATGCACCTGCTGTTTGGTTAAACATTTTCCAGCAGGTTGGAACGTTTGACTTTGTGAACAGGGCTGGCAGAGACACCCACTGAGGTAAATTTATACAGTATTTGGCCAGTTTTAGTTGTTACGCTGCTCTCTCCTCAATACTCTGTCTCTAGCCCCAAACATGTATTCAGTCAAGGACTTTACTGATGTACACAGTTGTATCAGGTCAGTTTAGAAGTATTAGGCCAGAGCTTGAAATTTCCACTCGCCTGCTCGCCAATGGCGAGTGGAAATTATGGTGGGGGCGAGTGTGCCCCCCCACGGCCGTCTTGCTGAGCAGGCTCGGAGCTCAGGCCGGATCTGCCATTGGCACTGGGAATCGTCAGACTGCTCAATAGCTGAGTGCAGTGAAAGCAAAGCAAGGAATGTGTGCTGTGCTCTCTGCCTCCCCCTAGAGTGCAGTACCCAGATCTGTGAGTTAACAACGAAGTACTGCAACTTTTTATGGGGGGTTGTCTGTGTATGCATGTACAATTGTATATGTATCTGTAAATGTGTCTGTGTGTGTGTGTATGTACGTGTGTGTACGTACATGTGTCTGTGTGTACATGTCTGTATGTATGTGTGTGTGTGTGTGTGTGTGTGTGTACATGTATCTTTGTGTATGCGTGTCTGTACGTGCCTGTGTGTATGTACGTGTGTCTGTATGTGTGTTTGTGTACATGTGTCTCTGTGCGTGTGTGTACATGTTTCTGTGTGTGTGTGTGTGTGTGTGTGTGTGTGTGTGTGTGTGTACATGTTTCTGTGGGCATGTACAGGTGTCTCTGTTTGTGTGTGTGTGTGTGTGTTTGTTGGTGTGAGTAACTCTAAGGCCTGGCTAGTAGCTCAGGACTTGAAATTTTAAGCCTTGTATTAGGCTCCATGCACATTAGCGTATTTTTAAGCTTCCAGAAGCTACTATGAGCATTTTTTTCTGCTCCTAAAAGCTAATCGTGTTATTCTACATGTCTATGCACACTATTTTTATGCTAGAAGCTTTTAAGTGGTGTTTTTTTTTTTTTTTTTTTTTCCTGTACTGTAAAAACACTAATACTACTAAAATGCTAGTACAAGCCAGCACAAAAAAACGCTATTTTCGGTTTTTGTCATCCAGCTTTTTCTTTCTAGCGTTTTTTGAGCTTCTAAAATATGCAAATGTGCATGAAGGCTTAAAGACAGTGAATCAGAACAAAACTGGCACCCAGCTTTTTCAGGGGCAAGTCAGTAATGACAGCTCCGTGAGAGAAGTAGGTTGATGCCTCATGTAATCATTTGCACCCAAGCACAAATATTTAGTGCATGGTGAGTATCTGTTATCCTGCCTTCAGTCAAACCGCTTAGTAATGTTGAAGGTAGCTTTGACAGAACCTCCAACGTGGAGATGTTCAGTGGAGTTTGATATGGACTTGTGTTAAACTATCTACATATGGGTATTGATTGTGAATCTGATCAGTTAGTTCAACCTTATTTTCCACACTAAGACACACAAGAAAATTTTCTGTACTTTGATTTGACTTCGTAGCTGGAAACTGAGCGATCTGAATTAAAAGTAACTATATCGGAAATGAAGGAAACTATATCGTCTTTAGAAAATGCAAATCGGTCACAGTCCGTTAATTTGGCTCAAACCCTGGATGACTCTTCACAGTATAAAGTAGAACTAAGCTCCCTAAGGTTAGTGGCATCATTTCATTATTGGATTGGAATGTTAATGACCGCATTACACCTGTACATGTATACTAACATTGGTTCCTCCTCCTGCTCTGCAATACAGGTTACTTAATGAACAGCTTCAGAAATCTTTGGAAGACCTCCAGCATCGTCTCACTGTGAAATTCAACGAACTGCAATTATCACAGGAGGAAATTGTAACATTAGAGGAAAGAATAGGTAAATTGCACATATAAGTGTAGCAATGTACACTATATTTACTATCCTTTACCTTACCGGTCCCAAGACAGACTCTGCTCTGATTGCTCTTCAAAACCTTTAAACTGCCATTTTTATAATGATTGGGGTGAATGATAAGCAAAATGGATTCCTACATCATTATCAAGATTTATCTTCTCTGTGCAGCCGTCTATGTAGCTCCAATGAGGAGCAGGGATGACATTCTCTGCTTCTCATCACAACAAAGTGAGAAGCACCTATTCAATTGAACGGGCAGTTTAATAAAGTGCGACCAACTGGCTGCTGTTGTAAGTTATCTCCTTCCTTTAGCTCTAGCACAACGTGTGATCGCAGGGAGAGAGGAGAAAATCAGCTGGAACCTTCAGAGAATGACTTCCTCAGCTTTTTCACTCACCGTGCCAGAGCAGGTTAACATACACTGCTCAAACAAATTTAAGGAACACTTTGAAAACACATCAGATCTCGATGGGGAAAAATATTATGCTGAATATCTATGCTGATATGTACTGGGTAATGTGTTAGGAACGTAAGGAAATGAAAATTATCAACCAAGAGAACTGAATTCAAAGACACCCTGAAAATCAAAGTGAAAAAATTATGCAGCAGGCTACTCCATTTTGCTGAAATTTCATTGCAGCAACTCAGAATGGTCCTCAGTAGTTTGCATGGTCCCCACGTGCTTGTATGCATGCCTGACAACGTCAGGGCATGCACCTAATGAGATGACAGATGGTGTCCTGTGGTATTTCCTCCCATATCTGGACCAGGGCATCACTGAGCTCCTGGACAGTCTGTGGTGCAACCTAGCGGCGTCAGATGGACCGAAACATGATATCTCAGAGGTGTTCTATTGGCTTTCGGTCAGGCAAACTTGGGAGCCATTCAATGGTATGAATTCCTTCATCCTCCAGGAACTGCCTGCATACTCTTGCTATATGAGGGTCGGGCATTGTTGTGTCCCAGGAGGAACCCAGGAGCCACTGCACCAGCGTAGGGTCTGACAATGGGTCCAAGGATTTCATCCTGATACCTGTAACAGCGTATACCCAGAGATGGACGCGGTTCAACCATTTTGGCTTCAACCTCCATCTTGGCAAAGGGATTAACCATCCTGACAAACATATTTCTCCCTCGTTCTTCCCCCCTCCCTCCCTCTCAGAGAGGCCCAGCGACATTTGGCCAGTATGTGTGTGAGTTAGGAATGTCATAGGAGCTATAAAGCCCCCCAAGGGAGCCAGGGCCTCCCTCTCCAAAGAACCTGCAAATTGTAACACCTTGGATAAGATAAGGCAAGCTTTCCCAGGAGCTGAAAGAGATTCCAACCTAATAAACCTAACTCAGCGTATGTGACAGAATCCGATAACCACTTTTCAAAATCCATTTTTCCCCTATGTCTCATATCTTGGAATATGAGAGACTTGCATAAAAACCAGACATATCGTCAGATTGGCCACGAGAAGGCGAACAGTTTGGTAGGTCACACGCATGGCCTCGAATACATAGGAAAGCCGAAAAATAGATCTCGTGAACCGTTCAGTGTGTAATGTCATAATTCATATCTAATCAATCCTCAGACGTGTCTGCCTAATAATCTACCCGCGGGTGGAATGTTACTTGTGCATAGGAAAAGTTTTTTATGGGCCAAAATATGAGTTAAGGGAGATTTTGGCTCTAGTTGAGGTATCCGCCCATACCTACACGCCCAAAACGGGGTATTGGTCCTTGACTTCAGAGACACCCCCTGCTGGGGACTAAAAATAGGCTGTCAGGCCTAATAGTGTGAGTTCAAGACGTCTCCCATTTTAACATCAATACCACCTGGGGAGACCCCTGCCCTTTTGCTCTGAAACATGGATCTACTAACCCAGGACTTTGGCAAGTACCTTAACCCTTTCACCTCTCTCTATCTCTTTGCTGTGCTGTTGGTTTTTCTGTATGTTTATATATATATATATATATATATATATATATATATATATAAAAATAATCTTAGTTACATCTTTTCTGTAAATATTTTTATTGCACCCGTTTGACCTTTTTAGTAATCAATCTTTCCTTCTGAAAGTGTTGAACTGTTTTCTATAGTGCTTTATTGCAATTTACGAATTCCTGCCTCTAAAGAGAACGCTACTGTGTGTGTTTAACCCGCTGCATAATCGGCCTGCGGTGACCGTATTATGCAGATGATTATCTCAACCATTCTAGTGTTTTAGCGGATATCGCCGAGTTTCCTCTTTCTCTGTACAAAAAGGAGGTGGTGGCAGTGTGAAGGGTTAATTGCGTAATTAACCTGACCCAGTAACAATCGCTCAGGCTGCCGGTACATCGATTGTGGTCCAATTAACTGGAAAATCGTTGTGCAGGGTGCAGCTGAGTGTGGCATTGTTACACACGTGACATCGCGGTTTTAGATCGGCTAGTTCTTCGGTCACGAGTTTGGTGAGAAGGGCTGGGGTCTGACGTTACGATTGTGACAATACCTAATTGCAGGCAGGGTGCCATTGTCTAGCCTGTAGAGTTCTGTGCGTCCCTTCATGAATATGCCTCCCCAAACCATCACTGATCCACCACCAAAATGGTCATGTTGAATGATGTTACAGGCAGCATAACGTTCTCCACGGCTTCTCCAGACCCTTTCACATTTGTCACATGTGCTCAGGGTGAACCTGCTCACACCTGTGAAAAGCACAGGGTGCCAGTGGCAGACCTGCCAATTCTGGTGTTCAATGGCAAATGCCAATCATATTCTATGGTGCTGGGCAGTGAGCACAGGGCCCACTAGAGGACATTGGGCTCTCAGGCCACCCACCCTCATGAAGTCTGTTTCTGTTTGTGTGGTCAGAGACATTCACACCAGTGGCCTGCTGGAGGTCATTTTGTAGGGCTCTGGCAGTGCTCATCCTGTTCCTCCTCGCACAAAGGAGCAGATACCGGTCCTGCTGATGGTTTAAGGACCTTCTACGGCCCGGTCCAGCTTTGCTAGAGTAACTGCCTGTCTCCTGGAATCTCCTCCATGCACTTGAGACTGTGCAGGGAGACACCGCAAACCTGGCAATGGCACGTATTGATGTGCCATCCTGGAGGAGTTGGGCTGCTTGTGCAACCTCTATAGGGTCCAGGTATCGCCTCATTCTACCAGTAGTGACACTGACCCTAGCCAAATCCAAAACTGGTGAAAAACAGTCAGGAAAGATGAGTAGGGAAAAATGTCAGTGGCCTCCACTTGTAAAACCATTCCTGTTTTGGGGGTCGTCTCATTGTTGCCCATCTAGTGCACCCGTTGTTAATTTCACTAACAAGCAGCTGAAACTGAATAACAACCCCCTCTGCTACTTAACTGACCAGATCAATATCCCAGGAGTTTAATTGACTTAATGCTAGACTCTTCTCAAAATATTAAAGGAACCCTTTTTAATCAGTGTATAAATAGAACTATAAAATGTGTGTGAGGTCTAGTGTTTTTACACTATGGAAATTTTTTTTAGAGTGGGTGACCCTTCTATTCCATAGGATCAATTATATTTCTTGATAAATCCTATAACCCCCTTTGTTGAGCAGAGCTGTAGTATTGACAACAAGAGAAGTGTGTCTGTAAGGAAGTTTGTAAAGCTGACCATACACTATGCAATATGACTGTACAATCTTTTAGATCCACCATCAACTATGTAGTGCAAGGGCTTGCTTGATTAGATAGATAGGTGTGTCCTATTATATAGTTTTAGTAAATCTAAAGGAGATTGTACAATCAGATTGTATAGTG